AAAAAAAAAAGGAATAGGGGGAATCTCAGGAAATATTAAGGAATCTGCTTCTATACCATAATGGTGAGGCTAATATGGGAACAGGATGCACTATAGAAAAATGGAGTATAGAGTCAGTAATGTGTGCAAACTAAGGAGAATATGAGGTTTAGAGCTTATAGTAGTCAAGCTATATGTCCCAAGGGGATATTTATGGATGGCTTGCTGGAAGTTGCCACCGTATGTTCTGGCTTGAGATATTCAGTGCACATAATGTCTACAAATGTCATTCTAGGATTTCTTTTTTTTTTAAAAAAAACGAATATTGTTTCATTTATTGATTAATTGATTTAAATGTGCATTGGTATTTTGCCTGATATATCTGTATGAGGGTGTTAGATCACCTAGAACTATAGTTATAGAGAGTTGAAAGCTGCTATCTGGGTCTTCTAAGAAAAACAGCCAGTGCTCTTAACCACTGAGCGATCTCCTTTAGTCCTCTTCTTTATTTCTAATTAAAACAGAATTTATTTGATTTTTAACTATGTGTACCTTTATATACAAATATTTACATATGTATTTATATACATGTGTATGGATATGTAATTGCAGTTACCAACAAAAAACAGAAGAAGGGTGTCAGATCTACTGGAGCTAGAGTTGCAGGCAGTTTGTGAAACACTTGTTATTGGTATTGGAACAAATTATTCTAATTAACCACTAACTTGTCACTCCAGCATGGGTTTCCAGGCTTTCTTGGAAAAAAGGTCTGGAGGGGGGATTTCTGAATGTTGTTTTTTTTCTTTTAATATTTATCTAACATGCATAGATGAACAAAAGATGTTTGGATCAAATCTACCTCCCATTAGTTCATCCCACATCCCAGCACTACTTTTTCTTTCCCAACTTGTTCTTTTTCAAATTCATGGCCTCTTTTTTTGTTAATTGTTATTGCATGTATATATGTATATATACATATCTATTCCAAAATATAACCTACTCAGTCTTTATAATGTACTCATTGTTACTCTTATATGTTTTCACGGATGCTATTGGATAACCAATTGATATATTGTTCCCTGGTGAAGAAGATTTCTTTCTCTCAACATTTCTTCATTTTCTCTAGTTCTTTTATGTGATTTTAGGGCCTCCATGACTTTTTCCAATCCACATTGGCTTGTCTATTAGTGTCAACCGTATTTAGCTGATGTCTGAGCAGTCATGTTTGTTGCATGATTATTTAAAAACGCAGAGACAGGTATTGGGGTTCAACCTGAAGGTCAGAAAAAACAAAACAGCCGGCCACTGGCTCTTATCTCTACCTCAGTTCAAAATGGCAATCCTGCCTCTAGGAATCTCAGAATGAGACTGAGATTGAGTTCTGTCTCCTCCTATTTTATGTTATTCTCTAGTGCTGGGATTAAATGCATTCACCACTACCACCTGCTTTTTAGGTTTTTATGGCAAACTATCATGGCCACTGGGATGAAAACTGTGTGTCAGCACTGCCTGGTCTGTAAGACCGATCAGTGTGGCTGTTTTAATCTCTGAACTTCAGGCAAGCTTTATTTATTTAAATACATTTCCCCTTTTTGTCTAAAATAAAAAAGACAAAGGCTATAACTAATATAAGAAAAACTGTGTACAGTAAGTACAATGACTATATACAATATATATAGGCAATAAATACATCAACAATGTCTCGTCCATTTGCATTTCACAAATTTAGAGAAACTACTCCTTATCTTGTGAGTCCAAAATCTTGTACCTAATTTATTTTCTATCATAACTTGCCTTCTACATCTAGTAAACTTTAACTATAACTATATACTCTTCAACTCCTTCATAAACCCAAGAAGGAAATAATATTAACCAAGTAATCGGGAAGTATGAGCAAAGAACTTCCCAAAAATGTGAGAAATGACAGAATAGCTGGCCTCCAGGACAGTCACCCAAAGTTACTCCATAACATTGGGGCATCTGTCTTTGGCCTATAGGCCTAGCATATCCAATAGACTTTTCTGTGAAGCAGGATATTCTGAAGGGTGGTCCCTCCTTGGAAATGTTTCACCATCACTTTCTTTTGTGCCCTGCTTATCCAGTTAGGACAGCATACTGTCAGCAGCTGAAGCAAGGGAATTTTCTTGCCAGCAGCTTACTTTTGCCACATAGAAAGTAAACTCCATGTGGAGTTTCTTTGATGCCTGTTATCTTCTCTGATTTAGATTAGTGGTGCCAGGAGCAGACATGTCTCATTGTCATAAAAGGAGCCTATGTTATTAAACATCTTAAATGCTATATTCTGTTGATCTATAAAGTGTTTGAAGATGATCTAATATATATCTCTGTTTGACCTTGAAAAAATACCTAATGTGACTACAAGTTTGATTATAAAAGATGACTAATTACTAACCCTGTATTTCTTATTATTCTAAACAATTGTTAATAATAGTTTTTAAGGACTAGAAATCTGCATTCCATTGTTAAATGAGCTGAATAGGTACAATACTTTGAACAGGAGTGGAAATGTATGTACAGAATATTCTAAAAAACTTAATTTCAAATTTGTATCAATATACAAAATTTGTATGCTATACACAAAAGTCCAGTCCAATATAAAACATTTTAAACTAATAGTTGCTTTTAAATCAGATTCAGTAACCTACACTTTTATCATATCTATATCCTCCCTTTTTTCAGAGTAGAATCAATAATATACCATTTTATACTATCAATCTATATCCCCTTTTTTTTCTTTTCAGAACATGACCCTGAATCCAATTTCTTTGTTTAGCTTTTTTCATGACCATTACCTTTAAAACATGTAACCAATACACTATACAAAACATTCAGAAGAATCTGCAACAGTGGAGCTCTGAAACATTGGTTACATGTTTCCATGGCTTGCTCAGCCTACCTTTTTGTAGCACTCAGGATCAGCAGCCTCAGGATGGCACTACCTACTATAGGCTTGTTCCTCCCCCACTGATGACTAAATGAGGAAATACCTTATAGCTGAATGTCAAGGAAGCATTTCCTCGGCTCATGTTCTTCCTCTGATGACTTTAGCTTATGTCACATTGACACAGAAAGCCAGACAGTACAGTGAGGAAATACTAAAACAAAGCAAGACGAAACTCAAATTCTGGGTCTCTGTGTCTGATGTCAGCACGCTCCAGGTCTCCAGCTCATTTCAGTTTTGTTGATTTCAACATATTGCTCTCTCTCTTTTGGGGTGGCTCCATTCTCAGTCTGAAACTTTTTTTTGTCAGGTATCCCATGACTTTAGCATTTCCAGCATTTTGGGGTCTCCAACACAGCCCAGCCTTTGACATTACAGCTTCACATAATGGCCTTTCAGGGCCTCAATGCAAGGATACCTCTGAAACATGGCTTGCTTCAATTGCTTTCTTTAGCTGAGGAGGAATTTTCCACCAACCTTTTCTTCTGTCCTTGACTCTAAAACTAGAACCATGTGACTAAAGAGGCCACATTCTGCTGCTTACTGGGATTAGAACTTGGCTGCCTTCAGTTTCATTTGGATCACATTTGCATTGTTGATGGTTTCCTTCATTCACTATAGAGGGTTTTCTTTAAATCCTTTTTACAAGCTGGAAGCTTAGCTGACTGGAATCTTGTCCTGAGAAGACCATTTAATTTTTTTCATTTAGCATGAGGCTTTTCTTTCAAATTTTTGTTTCCTTGATTCCAGCTTGGTTCCATTATGCTTCCTGGTAGTCTTTTTCTCCTCAATGTATGCATTTTGTATTTCTCTTTGTCCAGCTTACTCCTTTCCATTCTATATCTATGTAAGAGTGATCAATAATACCCATGTGATTAAGTCATAGTATACTGTCTTAAAATCGTTTTTGCCTGAGCCATTAATCAAAAATTCTTCCATTTAGCCACAGGCAGATTTTTAAACTATTGTGAAACCTGACCACATTCTTTGTCAAAATATCTCAAGAGTAGTTTCAAGGAACTTACTAGTATTCTTCCTCTCTGAAATCTCTTCAACAGGGCCATTTGCATTACTCTAAGCACGTCTGTTTCCCATGCATCTACTAGTATGGTCTATTAAGCCTCCTTTAAAGTATTCAGTTGCTCTCCTTATCCAACATCTCACAGTCCACATTCTGCCAACAAGTATCATGGTCATGCCTGTCATAATACTCTATCCCTAGGTACCAGCTTCTTAGTCACTGTTGTATTAATGTGAAGAGACAGTGGGAACAGGTGTTCATATAAGAGAAAGTGTTTAAATTGGGGCTTCCCTACAGTTTCAAAGGTTAATCCATTATCAACATAGTGGAAAGTGTGGAAGTATGCAGGCAGGTATTGGAGTAGCTGAGAGCTGCATCCTCAATCATAGGCAGAAATAGACTGTAAGCTTGGAATGAGCTTTTAAGAAGTCTCAATGCCCACCCCAGGGGCACATTTTCTCCAATGAGGCCAGACCTCCTAACCTTTAAAATCCTTTCAAATAATGTCACTCTCTGGTGACTAAGCAATTAAATATATTAGTCTAAGGGAACAGTCTCACTCATTTCTCCCAAACGCCAGGGAAAGAAAGCCAGTATGCAGCATTCTTCCATGGAATGTGCTTCAGGTCCAGCCTCCAGATTCTTGCCTTGTGTTCTTGCTCTGACTTCCTTCAGTGATAGGCTATAACCTGCACGGTGAAATAAACTACTTCCTCCTAAGTTGATTTCGGTAAATATTTTATCAAAACACCCAGAGAAGCAAACTAGGACAACAATTTCATGGCACTTATTTGGAAGGATACTTTGAGATTGGAAGGATACTTTGAAGTGAGATTATAAATTCTAGACCAAGAACCCTAGTCTATATGAGTATTCAATGAACCTCTCTAGATGGATAGAAAGCCACATGGACTCCATTTTCCAGAAGAAAAACTTACTAGGGTGCTGTTCTCTGACTCCTTGCTTAGCCTTAGGAGGGCTCTAGAAGGGGTATCCACAATGTACATCCTTTATGCCTTCACATTCTTTTCTTTTTCAGGGAGCTGTGTCCTTTGATCTAAAACACTGAAGACAGAAAATTAAAGGGAAGATTTGAAGTTATTTTCAGGGATTAAGGTAAAAAAAATTTGATTATGATCAAGTCCTTACTGGAGTATACTTTGAGGCTTTATCATTTCAGACAGCAGCCTTGAAGCTGTTCTGGATGCAGAACTCAAAAGAAACTGCAACAGAGGTGCTCTGAAACACTGGACCATCTGAACTATCCATTTCCATTGGAGATTTTTTACGGGGGTCTTCCTTGATCAAACCTCAATTTTTTAACCCAGAATGAATCAATAGCCTCTCATTTCCTATGAAAACAAAAGTAAAACCTCCTCTCCAAAGTAACATATCTGTGACTTAAATTTGGAAGTCAAGGCATTTTCAAAATATATAGCTTGGATTAATCCAGCAGAATTAATAATCAAATGTGTTTACCAGCTGTTCATCCTCAGAAGTTAAACAATTCAAAGAAAACAATAATATACAGTGTCCATATTCTCTATATTTTTATCTTTATATGGTATTTTAAAATTCTAATTCTACTATTTTTATTTTTAACTTTTGAGACAGGATTTGTCTGTGTATTTTTGGCTGTCCCAGAACCCTCAGTAGACCAAACTGGCCTCAAACTCAACAGAGATCCACCTGCTTCCATCTCCCAAGTTCAGGGATTAAAGGCACATGCCACCATGCCCAACTACCCAAAAAAAATTTTTTAGGACATTCTCTATCCTTTTCCTTTTCTCTCCCAAGCCTATGCATATTTTTAAACATTCAGTAAAAATGTTTAGAAGTGTTTTATTGTCTGAGTTTGTCTATACTGTATATCTTTATCTTTTTCTGACCACAAATCTTTAATTTGCTAAATAATATGGTTAGAATTAAATCTACGACTTTGGTGGCTGACTCCACCCCATTCTTTTGCTTTCTAAGAGTCAATCTAGCTTCTAGCTTCATGGTCAAGGTATTAACAGGAGCCAAATTTATTGGCACAACTCTAGAGCCTCTTGGTCCATGTCACCACAAAGAAGCAAGATGCTGATTGATCATAAACACCACTTAAATATTTGGTAAAAGAGCCTTTTTTGCTTACTATTAGTGTGTATATATTTCCTTTCAATACATGTTTAATTTATGTGTAATTGGGATCAAAAATTCCAGAAGGGTTTCAACCTTTTTTTTCACTTGGCTACTGACATACTTTGCCTTCATTCCCATGACTAACATGCCAAGAGGAGCCAGCCATTAGTCTGCTGTGAGCATTCTTCCAGATGCTTCCTTTACACACACACACACACACACACGGAACACACAGTTTTGCTCCTTTTAAGTGTGCATTGAGCAAAATGGATCTCTTTGCTTACCAGTAACTATAGATGTTATGCCTCACTCTATAGCACAAGCTGATCTCCCTCCACCCTTTATATCTCCTGAATCATCTTCCTTAATGCTGTTATTACAGATAGGCACAACCACAGTATTCTTCCTTTAATGAGTTGGTAGCAGTTCATTATAGGGATATCCCATACATTAACCTATCATCTGTTGATTAATCTTCTATTTGTTTGTGTTCAGGTGAGAAGAATAGCTTTAAATAGCAAGGGAACTTCATATGTATCATTAAACTCTTTTTTACAAGCTGGGCTGTGATAGTGTATGCCTTTAATCCCAGCATGTGGGAGGCAGAAGTGGGCATAGTTCTGTGAGTTCAAGGCCAGCCTGGTGTACAGAGCAAATTCTAGGACATCCAGAGTCTCTTAAAAGAGCTGCAAGGATTTTTGCCACTAATGCTGAGTCAGGAGACCTCTCTTAAAGGAGCCATACCTCTGCTTGCCTCTTGCAAACAGAGCCTACCTGAGACAATCCTGTACCAAGAATCCGTTCTTAGCTTTGTTCTTTTGTGCCTAGAATCCCTTCCCAAGGTCTTTAGAGTTTTATGTGGATGTAGTTGCCAAACATTCTGTGACTTTTTTTTGTACAATTAATAAAAAAAATCCATATATGGGTATTGGTGTTCAACCTGAAGAAAAGCAAAACAGCCAGCCACTAGCTCTTACCTCTACCTCAGTCAGAAATAATGACCCTGCTTCCAGGAATCTCAGAATGAGACTGTGAGATCTATCCCTCCTCCCATCTCGCATTCCTCTCTAATGCTGGAATTAAAGGTGTGTATGGCTACCACCCAGTTTTTATAGCAAAATAGTGAAGTTACTGGGAATAAAAGTAGGTGTCAGCACTGCCTAGTCTGTAAAGCTGATCAATGTAGCTGTTTTAATCACTAAACTTCAGGTGAGCTTTACTTATTAAAATACAAGTGAAATATCAGTAAATGTGTTGGTGAACAGTTATGGGTATCTGACATTATTGGGAGATATAATCTCACAGAAAATGCCCTGAACTTCTAGCACTTCACCCTATTTGCTTCCTGTTATAGGAAGGCTGCTTATTTGTTCCCAGCTGCTCAGACCCTAAATAATCACTCAAACTATATTATTTGCAATAGTGCTTGATTAATAGCTTAAGCATATTTCTGGCTAACTCATATCTTAAAGTTACCCATCTCCATTAATCTGTGTATCACCACAAGGCTGTGACTTACTGAGTAAAGTTCCAGCCTCTGTCTTTGGCTCATCTACATGGCATCTCTCTGACTCTGCCTTCTTTCTACCAGCATTCAGTTTAGTTTTTCCCACCTACCTCTATTCTGCCTAGCTCAGATCTAAGACAAATTCTTTATTAACCAATGTTATTCACAGCATACAGAGGGGAATCCCACATCAACTCCCATTTTCTGTTTACATAAAATAGAAGAATTTAACTTTTACAATTACATATAAAAAAAACAGTTATCAAGCAAGAATTACACTTACATTATTTACCTTATCTTTTATCATAACTAGGTAAACTATAACTATAACCCTGACCTAGCTATATTTTGCCTCACTATACGCCAAAGCAGTTTTCTTTATACATTAACCAATAAAAGCAACATAGACAGAAGGACCTTCTACACCAGCTTCCCTTAGTTCACAATCTTCCCTAAACCTTAAGTACGGGAGTATTTTATAGATGTATCCATTGGTCCTGGTCTCCATAACTCTATTTTTATTAGTTGGAATTTATGTCATGGTCCCAACTATTACAAACAGAAGTATCCATGTTTAAGAGTAAAGACTACCATATTGGTGTGTGTAAGGACAAATGTTTAGAATGTTGTTGGGGATTGTTTTAGTTTAGTAAACTAGTGATTTATGTTCTCCTCCAATATTGGTGACTTCACTGTCACTGGAGAGTTAGCTCAGTTTCCAGTACCAGACATGGCTTCCCTCTTGTTGGGTGGGTCTTAAGTACATTTAGAAAACCGGTATGTGTGCCATTACTGCCCCCTTAGGGTTATCAAGCCATTCTGATTGTTTTTCATCGATATCATAGCTGTGTAGGATTGTTGTTTGCATCCCCCCTTTGGAAGATTGCATGGTGCCTTCTGGTAATATGAAAGCTAATCCTTAGGTGTTGACAAAGGTTTCTGTCCCACCCAGTCCCACAGTCATTCAGTCCCAAAGAAATACACAGAGTTCTGCATTAATCATAACCTGGTTGGCCTATTAGCTCAAGCTTCTTGTTAACTCTTTCTTACATCTTAGATTAACCCATTATTCTTGTCTGTGTTACCCACATCAGCAAGGCATTCTCATCTTGTTTCCTCTCTTTCTGCGTGATGACTACAGACTGACTTTTTCTTTTTACAGAATTCTGCTCTCGTCACTGCACCTATACTTCCTGTCTGGCTATGGGCAAATCAGCATTTTATTAATATACAAGTGACAGGGTACAGACCATTGTCCCACAGCATTCAGAGAAGAGGCATTCAGATTAGTTCCAGCTCTGGCTCCTATTTGTGAAGTGCATGAATCTTCAACAATAGGGACTAACCTTCTAACTCTGTCCTCCCAGCTTCTTGCACCATAACATCATGCTACCCATGTGTGTATGAGTGTGGGACTGTCTACTGGGCTCTCTTGGGGCCTACATCCCTGAAGAAAATTGAGGCTCCCATTTCCAGTTGGCATTTTTTACCAATAACTCTTCAGATAGGCATAAGTCTTGTTTCTTTTTTTATTTCTTTGGGAAAGGATCCTATCTTGTAGTTTAGGATTACATTGATCTGGATCTGTGGATAGGCCAATTTTAAAAGTTCTTCTTGTCTCTGCTTATTACAACTGTTCTGTTCCTCTTATTCAAAGTACCGTGAGGCTTATTTATAGTTGTTATATTACAGATATATCAGATGGGACTGGATACCACACTATGAGCCCTGTTTGTATTTGGGCCCTGTTTTGAGTTCCTGTCCTCTTCTCCAGTTGTGGATTTTTGGAATGGTCTCTCCTCTATAAAAGCTACTTATATAAGGGCTGAGAGGCAGTCTTCCTCTCTAAAATCTCTTGAACCTGGCTATTTACACCTTTTCCCATGCATCTACTAGTATGGTCTATTAAGCCTCCATTAAAGTGTTCAATTGATCTCCTAATCCAACATCTCACAGTCCACATTCTGCCAACAAGTATCATGGTCATGCCTGTCATAATACTCTATCCCTAGGTACCAGCTTCTTAGTCACTGTTGTATTAATGTGAAGAGACAGTGGGAACAGGTGTTCATATAAGAGAAAGTGTTTAAATTGGGGCTTCCCTACAGTTTCAAAGGTTAATCCATTATCAACATAGTGGAAAGTGTGGAAGAATGCAGGCAGGTATTGGAGTAGCTGAGAGCTGCATCCTCAATCATAGGCAGAAATAGACTGTAAGCTTGGAATGAGCTTTTAAGAAGTCTCAATGCCCACCCCAGGGGCACATTTTCTCCAATGAGGCCAGACCTCCTAACCTTTAAAATCCTTTCAAATAATGTCACTCTCTGGTGACTAAGCAATGAAATATATAAGCCTGAGGGGTGGAGAGAGTCTCACTCATACCTCCCAAAGGCCAGGGAAAGAAAGCCAGTATGCAGCATTCTTCCATGGAATGTGCTTCAGGTCCAGCCTCCAGATTCTTGCCTTGTGTTCTTGCTCTGACTTCCTTCAGTGATAGGCTATAACCTGCACGGTGAAATAAACTGCTTCCTCCTAAGTTGGTTTTGGTAAGTATTTTATCAAAACACCCAGAGAAGCAAACTAGGACAACAATTTCATGTCACTTATTTTAAAGGATGCTTTGTAATTGGAAGGATACTTTGAAGTGAGATTATAAATTCTAGACCAAGAACCATAGTCCATGTTAGTATTCAATGAATCTCCCTTGGAAGGATAGAAAGCCACATGGACTCAGTTTTCCAGAAGAAAGTCTTACAAGGGTGCTCTTCTCTGAATCCTTGTTCAGCCTTAGGAGGGCTCTAGAAGGGGTATTCACAATGTACAACGTTTATGCCATCAGTTTCTTTTCTTTTTCAGGGAGCTGTGTCCTTTGATCTAAAACAGTGAAGACAGAAAATTAGAGGGAAGGTTTGAAGTTATTTTCAGGGATTAAGGTATGTATTCTGAGTCAGCAATTGGCGCAACACATGGGCCACAATATCTACCAATATCATGTTAGAACTTGGATGCAGGAATGTACATATCAATGACCCTCTTACTTTCTTTTGTTCTCAGTAGTTGAGTAGTTAGTATAAGAAAAAATAACAGTCTACTAAGGGCAAGGAGTCTTATGCAGTGCTAGTAACTGATGTGTAGACATTGAATAAATATTGATGAACATTCATTTTACTATGTTTGCTATCTGCATGTGCTCCACTATGATTTTCAAATCATGAATTTTGGAAAAAGATACTTGGGGTTTCATTACTCTTTTAATTTTCCTGAATCAAATATAAATATATCTGTTTTAATGATACCCTCAGGTTAAGAGCACTGCTAGCAATCCAGACTGAAACATGCCTATAGGGTATTACCCATAGTAGGATGGAAGAGAAAATACTCTAATACTGTTGTTAGTCTAGGGTACCTTGGTATGGATAAGAATCCCAACCCTTCCTAATTTGTGTTTTGGGAAGAAGAAAGTTTTGTTGTTGTGGACTGCTGTCTCATTAAAGTAGCATAAAGATTCCAAATCCTACCAAAGAAGGCTGAGGGATCTACCCTTTCAAGTGCATAGGTCTGCAATAGATGTATCTTCTGTTTTCACAGAGGTAAGCTGGGTTTTAGCAGACAGATTTCTCATACTGTTCCCCGCAGTTGTGTAAGTTGAGACGAACTGATTCTGGTAGGGAACTGAACCAGTAGCAATCAAAATGTAGAAAGTGTAGCCCAATCAGTTCTCCAAGTAAAAGACTTGACAGAGAACTGCAAGGAATCATGTATCACAAAATATCTGGATTAATATACCCCTACATAGTTTCCCTGTGTGCCTGTGCAGGCCATGGGAAAGACTGCCAAAATATAATATATGGTAAATTCCTGTTTCTGCTGATTTAAGACTGGTGATATTTTATTCTAACCCAATTGTGTCATATCCAAGATACTTACATTGTTTAAAGAAAAGACAATTAGTGAGGCAGATAGGAACGTATACCCAAGAACCGAGTGGTGTCAACAGAATTCTGTCCCAGCACAGTTGACAGATTCTAGGGGAAAAATGGATAAATTGAATGCCTTTCAATTGCTCCTTTGTAATCACAGGGATACAGGTAGTTAGTTTGATGGAATATCAGTTCAAGAAAAGGAAGGGGACTCAAGATTTGTGATGTGTGTGTTTATCCTGAATGAATAGTGAATGATACATACAGTCAAGTATAGAAATGTTAACAAATTAACTGCCCTGAAACTCTATCTGTTCCTGGAGATAATTCAAATACAGATAGTGAATGAACAGTTCACATCATGTACTATGGTCTGAGAGCGGAAGTAGTTATCTTCTTATATACGTAAGCTCCCAAGAGAAGAGATGAGCCTATTTCGTTCTAAGTAAGGCTCCTGAGTAGTGAGGGGATCAGCACACCACACAAAAATTCTGTGACAATTAGTTTCTGCCACTGGCCCAGAGAATTTTCAGATAAGGAGGAATTTCCAATTTTACTCTTAAATTTATAGAAGATATAGTTTTAGTTTTAAGGGAATAGGCTTTATTTTTTATTTGAAAATTTCATAAAATGTTGATCATATTCACCCCTTTCCTTAGTTCCTCCCAGATCCAACACCATTCTCTCCATATTCAACTTTCTGCACTCTTTTATTTTTAAGCCATTAAGCACTATTTGTGCTGCCATATGGTATTGAGTGTGTGTGGCCCTCCATGGGATAATGGTCAACATACCTGGATGTTGTACCCTTAAAGAAAACTGATTCTCCAGTAACAGCAGCTATCATTTGCCTGTAGTAGCATGCTTGTAGTTTCTCAGCTACAAGTAGGACTTCATACCCACCTTTCCGGGGGTTAGTTTTGTTATATTAGAGAATGTGGCTTAAGCCCATTAGCTTCCATGATGATCATACTTGTGGAGATTTTGCACTTTTTTTCATTTAGAAAAGGAGTGGGAACTACAGAGCCAAACATGTATATGCTGTGGACCCTGATAACTTTCATGTTGGGTTGGCTAGCACCCAGTGTGTCTCTTATTTTCCCCTGCCAGTTATTGCCTTAAACCTTTATCACATGATTTTTGGAAGTCCATTCACTGTGACTGGAATTGATTTTACTAGCTGATTACCTTACATTCTCCCTTTCTCTGTTAAACAGTGATTCCTGATTGCTGCCTTCCTGTGTGCACGCGCATCTGCTTCTATTCACCACAGTCACCATGTCTAAACTTCAGAAGAATCCAGAATGTGCAGATGACCAAGGCCAGACCTGTGAGAAGACCCACAGCCAGATTGCAGCAGTCGGCAGGGATGTGGAGGAGCCTTGTACCTCCTCTCATCTTATGACTAGTAGTCTGAAGGGCCAGACCTGTGAGGGGACCCAGGTTGCAACAGTCTCCAGCCATGTGGAGGAACCATGTTCCTCCTCTCAGCTTATGTCTAGTGAGGAGAGCCAGGCCCTAGAGATTCCACAGGTGTCTAGGGATGTGGAGGAGCCATGTCACTCCTCCCATTCTCTGATGGCTAGCAACCAAAATGGTCCAGCAGATGAGACACCTAGTACCTCTGGGGGTCTTCAGAGTCTCTTTGAGTCTTTGAGAAACTCAGGTGGGGATCTTAGCAACCAAGAACAGGGCTCTCCAGTCAATCCACCATATCAACCAGCCACCATGAATGTACCTGTGATGAGTGTCAATAGTAAAATTAACTTCTTGGTGAATTATATGCTGTACAAGTATCAGATGAAAGAGATGATGAGCAAGACTGATATATTGAGACTCATTGTCAAAGAAGATGAAGATAGTTTTCATGACGTCTTCATGAGATCTGCTGAACTCATGGAGTTGGTTTTTGGCCTAGGTGTGAAGGAAGTAGATCCTGTCAACCACGTCTATGCGCTCTTTATCAAACTAGGTCTCACCTATGATGGGATGCGTAGTGATGAGTTTAGTTTTCCTAAGACTGGTCTCCTGATAATCATCCTAGGGGTAGTCTTCCTGAAAGGCAACCGTGCCAATGAAGAGGAGATTTGGGAAGCATTGAATCCAATGGGAATCTATGCAGGGGTGAATAATTTCATCTTTGGTGACCCTAGGCAGCTGATAACCAATGAGTTTGTGAAGGAACAATACCTGGTGTACCAGCCAGTAGAGGATAGTGATCCTGTGCGGTATGAGTATGTGTGGGGGCCCCGGGCTCGAGCTGAAACTAGTAAGATGAAAGTGTTGGAGTGTGTGGCAAAGGTTTATGGGACACACCCAGCTACCTTCCAGTCTCAGTATCAAGAGGCTCTGATAGAAGAAGAAGAGAGAGCCCTTGCCTTGATTTTAGACAGTGCTGGCCTAAGTTCTCGTTCTCGTGCAAGTTCTAATGCCATGGGCTGCAGTTTCCCTCGTATGTAGTACAATCAGAGATAGCTTACTACTGCTATAGAATTTGCAGAGAATTTTTAGAGTTGAGGGAAAAAAATGTAGGTCCTAGTTTGATATAGAGAGGAGGAAGAATATTGTTTGCATAGTTCTATTTTGTCTGTGTATCATGACGTTTTTTCTTGCACTGTTTGACCTTTCTGTTTGAATATTGTTTCACTTATTAGCATTGTTGTTTGAGCTTCAAAAATCTCTACTTTATACAGTTCACAAATGTAATACTAAGAGCTTTGTCATAGTATAAAAATAACTGGGAATTAGTCCAATGTATCTATATAATTATGTGGAATACTATAATAATCATTGCTAAACTTCGACCTTTCAAACAGTGTTGTGCTAAATTTTTCTTTGTAACATTCCATTTCCCAGTACAATTGCATGATATATGTGGAGTTGCTTTACTTTACAGTCGCCATGAGTAATAAAATTCAAGAAAATATTACCACACATTTACAGTTTCTTTTATTACCAAAACTTTATTTGAGCATCTATTATTTTCCAATTACTATTTTAATTTTCTAGGATGCTACATTAAACAGTATGCATGTAGTTCCTTTCCTTATAAATACATTGATTGTGATAGTATATCTTCTAATACATGGAAGACAAATGAAATACAGGGTTTACACATAACGTGATAATTATGGTCCTGTTAAGTATAAATATCCTGAAAGAGAAAATTATGGTTGTGGTAAGATAAACTTCTTCCAATTGCTAATTTTGAGTTGAATTTTGAGGTGAAGAGAATTGGAGTGTACTAACCTGTATGTGGTGCACCTCAAAGCTGACATCCTAAAATTTAATGCAAAGCTCTTTCCTGGTTACTTTATGATTTTATTATATACAAAATTTTCATATAGAGAAAGTAGAAAGTGTCCATCTCTGACCCCACCTCTGTATGGTTGAATGTGTGCCATAAACTAACCCTTTACTTGCAAATAAACTTAAAGACATTTTTTGATAGTTAATAGTAAGAGACATGGAAGCCACAGGGTTGTCATTCGTTGCCCAGGGCCAGTGAAGTAAGAAAGCACTTCATTTAGGAGATATTTTAAATAGATTATCTTTAGTATAATTTGAATTGTATATATTAACATGTGCTTAATTTTGGGGGATTTTCGAGACAGTGTTTCTCTGTAGCTTTGGGTTCTGTCCTTGAACTATCTCTTGTAGACCAGGATGACCTCGAAGTCACAGAGACCTGCTTGCCTCTGCCTTCCGAGTTCTGGAATTAAAGGCATGTGCCACCACTGCTCGGGTAACATGCTGAAATTTTTTAATGAAGATATAAGCAGTGAAAATATTCATGATTTAGAAGAATTTGAGGAATTGGTCCTTGTCAAATAGGAGGACGTTTTACATCACTTAAAATTATGGAAATAAAAAAAAATAAATACACGTCCCCAATTTTAAAGAATAAATCTCCCAGGGGAAAATTAGTGGGGTTTACTTAAGTAGTGGTCCACTTTATATGAAGCCTCTTTTATTTTATTTCGCAGGGGGAGTATGTATCTTTGTTTCTTTTTTCTTTGTCTTGGAGGCAGGGTTTCTCTGTGTGAGGGATCTGACTTCCTGGAACTCACTTTGTAGACTAGGCTGACCCTGAGCTCACAGAGAACTGTCTGTCTCTGCCTCCAAAGTTCCTGGTGAAGTTCCATTTCTTAGAGAACTTCATTGTTCTGTGGGATATGTGATTATTTTAAAATTTACATAAGATAGACTCATAGAGTCACAGGTCAGGACAATTATTGTAATACCCACAATTAACTAAATGCCTCTAGTATACCAAGCACTCTGACTGAAGCTTTCACAATGCCCTCTTATAGGTAGTCTTATAACTCTTATATTAGCTATTTTTTAATAGTTTGACAGAAGCAAGATTTTAGTCTACTGTAGTAAGAAAGGCCTGATGGAGTTCCTCCATGGTGGCAGGAACACAAGGCAGCTACTGTTTACATTATGGCTGACCAGAAAGCTGAGCGTCATGCCAGTACCATTGCCATACTGTACCCTAAATATGGGCTCTACTTCTGCCCACCAGGTCTCACTTCTGCATGGTTTCAGAAAGTTTCAAAAGAGTGTCATGAGACAAATACTCAAAACAACAGTAGGTGACATTTTCAACTCAAACCATGTCAGAACTTAGCTGTTTTCCTCTCACAAGAAAAGTATAATATTCAAAGCTTGGCATGTGAAATGGCTGAGGCTGAAACTCTGGTACTAATTCTTCTGGATCCATTTCTGTACTGCTATCCAGTCTTCTGCATCCTGATTCATTTCTCATTGTAGCTCCTCACATTGCATGTTGTAATAAACTGGACCCTGAATCTGAAGTACTAAAATTAGATAAAAAAGCATTATCACACACCACTAACATATTTCCTGTGGACTCCATTAAACCCTAGTTCTGTCCTCTGCAACCTTGTTTCAGAGAGCTGACTTGAAGGGGCTGAAAGTTTTTTCTAGATTCAACTATTTTGTGTATTACAAAGAACTTGTCTTGTTTTTTTAGTTTTAGTTTTCTTTTGTCTTGTTTCTTTGCTTCATTTCTGTGTGCCAGAGAGCTCCATTAGTTACTTTAGAACTCCCCTGAGAGCAATACCCTGTCCATGCAAAAGGTCGCTTTTGTATTACATTTTAGTTCTGATAAACATCATTGGGCAGATATGGTATATAATCAGAATAATTTCCTAATAAACTGCTAGATATTGTATACATGGGAAATCTATTAGTCTGTGTGATCAATGATAAAAGACAGGATTTTGAAAACTATTATTTGCAGTAGGATTATATAGGATTTTTTGTTTAACAAATATATAACATATATATCAGTGAATGCCTTTATTTGGGTGCTTAAAAGTGAAAATTTCTCATATAAGTGAAAGCTGAGAAAAGACTATCAAAATGATTAAGCAAATAAGTACAAAGGTTCTAATTACCGTATTGTTGAAGGGAGCTATGGGATGTGTTCCTGCAACCTGGCTCTGGCCGCCTGGCTATCTTATGCCCCGAAATAACAACACACAAATTGTATTTTTTTGATATTTTTTGTTTATTTATTTTTTTAGTTGTTGCAAAAAAAAATTCCGCCTCCTCCCCGTTTCCCATTTCCCTCCCCTTCCTCCCACACATGGGTCCCTCCTCCCACTCCGCTACCCCTCTCCCCCTCCCCTCACTCCATTCCCCCTCCCTCTCGAGAATGAAGAGCAGCCCAGATTCCCTGCCCTGCAGGAAGTCCAAGGTTCTCACACTTCTATCCAGGACCAGGAAGGTGAGCATCGAAACAGGCTAGGACCCCACAAAGCCAGTTCATGTGTTAGGATCGAATTCTAGTGCCATTGTCCTTGGCTTCTCATCAGCCTTCATTGTCTGCCACGTGCAGAAAGTCCAGTTTCATCCCATGCTTATTCAGTCCCAGTCCCGCCGGCCTTGGTGAAGGGATGACAAGAGACTTGACTCTAGAGTGGCTTGCAGGTGTCCAGGGAGATGTCCCCAGCTAGCACCTTGAGCAACTGAGGAGAGGGAACCTGAAATGACCGTATCCTATAGCCATACTGATGAATATCTTGCATATCACCTTAGAACCTTCATCTGGCAATGGATCAAGATAGAGACAGAGACCCAAATTGGAGCACCGGACTGAGCTCTTAAGATCCAAATGAGGAGCAGAAGGAGGGAGAACATGAGCAAGGAAGTCAGGACCATGAGGGGTGCACCCACCCACTGTGACAGTGAAACTATTCTTTTAAACACTGCTTGGCCCATTAGCTCTAGAACTTACTGGCTAATTCTCATATCCCATTCAACCCATCTCTAATAATCTGTGCAGCGCCAGTCCTACCGGGAAAGATTCAGTGTGTCTGACCTGGTGGCAGGCTCCATCGTGTCTGCCCCTAGAGCAGAAGCATGGCATCTGTCTGAGGCGTCTTACCTCACTTCCTCTTCCTCCCAGCATTCTGTTCTGTTTATTCCACCTACCTAATTTTCTGTCCTATCAGGGCCAAGGCAGTGTCTTTATTTAACCAATGACCTTCCTCCATCACTGTATATTCTCAAGTTCTAGGAAGAAAAACAGATTCCTTGTAGATATTTTATATTTTAATAATGTTAGCTAACTGATTAATTTGGTAATAAGTTTTATTTTAATATAATTTTTAAATATCTTGTCTTCTACTCCTCCTGACTGAGTCTTCTTTTTGTTCTGTAGCTTTCAATTGTGCTGATAAGTCACTAATGTGAGCTTTTCCATTTTTTTAAATTTATTTATTAAAAATTCCCACCTCCTCACTTCCTTCCATTTCTCTCCCATTCCCCCGAATCACACTCTCCCTCCCTCTCCATTCCTAAGAGAAGTCAGAATGCCCTGCCCTGTGGGAAGCCAAGGCCTTCCCCCCTCCCCTCCATCCAGGTCTAGGAATGTGTGCATACAAACAGACTAGGCTCCCCAAAAAGCCAGTACATGCAGTAGAATCAAAACCAAGTTCCATTATCATTGGCTTCTCAGTCAGCCTCCATTGTCAGCCACATTCAGAGAGTCCAGTTTGATCACATGCTTGTTCAGTACCAGAACAGTTGGCCTCTGTGAGCTCCCATTAGATCAATCCCACCATCTCTGTAAATGGATGCACCCCTCACAGTACTGACTTCCTTGCTCATGTTCTCCCTCTTTCTGCTCCTCATTTGGATCTTGGGTGCTCAGTCCAGTGCTCCAACATGGGTCTCTGTCTCTATCTCCATCCATTACTGGATGAAAGTTCTATGGTGATATGCAAGATATTCATCAGTGTGGCTATGGGAAAAGCCACTTCAGGTACCCTCCCCTACCTGCCCAAGGACCTAGCTGGGGACAACTCTTTGGACACCTGGGAACCCCTCTAGAGCCAAGTCTCTTGGCAACCCTAAAATGGCTCCCTTAATTAAGATATCTTCTTCCCTGTTCCCATATCCACCCTTCCTCCATCTCAACCATCTCATTCCCCCAAGCTCTCCCCAATCCTTTCCTTCTCCCTTCTCACTGCCCATCTCCCCTTCTCCCCACCCAAACCCCACTCCCATACTCCCAACTTTTGCCCAGCGATCTTGTCTACTTCCAATATCCAGCAGGATAAATATATGTTTTTCTTTGGGTTCACCTTTTTATATAGCTTCTCTAGAATCACAAATTGTAGGCTGAATGTCCTTTGTTTATGGCTAGAATCCACTTATGAGTGAGTACATACCATATTCATCTTTTTGAATCTGGGTTATCTCACTCAGTAAAGTGTTTTCTATTTCCATCCATTTGCATGCAAAATTCGAGAAGTCATTGTTTTTTACCGCTGAGTAGAACTCTAAAGTGTATATGTTCCACACTTTCTTT